TCTCTCTCTCTCTCTCTCTCTCTCTCTCTCTCTCTCTCTCTCTCTCTTTCTCTCTCTCTCACACACACACACACACACACGAAGTATAAGTGATCACTGTTGGAATGCATGAGTCCTAGTTGGGACCACATAGTTTTAGGAATGCTAAGCTGCGCTTCTGTTGTATCAGACCACAGTCTGGCCCACTCTCTCCATAGCTCTACGGACTTGGTAGAATTTGCAGCTGTCATTGGAAAGGGGGCAGCTGTGATCTGGGGATTAAGGGAAGGGAGCATATGCTATGAGAAATACTCTGGAGAGAAGAAAACCCAAGTATGGACAGTAAGGGAAATAGAATAAAAAATAATCATAGACGGATGTGTGTCTAAACACATCAGCTGGTGAATAATGTTCTGCAGGCACTGGGGTCTTTGAGTAAACTTAAAATACTAGAGCATGAATTATTACCATTGCACATGGGTATCCTTTAATTACTCCTTTAAATACACAAACCCAAACAATGCTTTCTGGGTGAAAAAAAAAGGGGGATTGCTTTTGTTTAAACCAGAGAATGCTGTTAAAATGGTGGGGAATCGGACTGAGTGCTTTCTGAATCCCTAAGTTCGGATTGGTTGCTCTCTTAAACCAGGACCATGAATTTCCTCCAAATATGTTTTCATAACTAAGGGTGACTACCTCAAAAGATAAGCTAACCAGGAAAAAATACACACACACACACACACACACACACACACACACACACATATGGGATAACTTCTTGGGAAGTGATCAATGGCCAGGTCATAGAGATTATACCTTAACATCTCTTGCCATTTTAAAGTAATTTTTTTGAGCCCTGGCTCTGAGTCCTCACTGGTTGTTGTTCACAGTGTGTGCTAGACTAATCAGTGAGATTTGGAGGTCAGAGCCAGCCAGGAAAATGTCACTGCAGTCATTGCTCAGGTTCCCGCACTTGGAAAGCCGATACAACAGCTGCTGTGGGAAGCTCCTGGGGTCGTCCTTATGCCCCAACAAGGGGTGCAGGGATGGGGCTTGCCAGCATGATAATCTGTCCACTTCCCCAAAGATCAGGATGGCAGCCACAGCCTGCAAGCCACTGTCACACTTCAGGCAGCAGGCTCTCTTTTCCTACAGAAAAGATGTCTCTAATTTCTTTAAAAGCAGATAAAACCTTGAGGCTTGTTGCGGTTCAAGAGATTGTTCCGCTGCATCGGGGAGACACATGCTGGGGTCTCAGCTCGGGAACGTGAGTCATGCATCTGTTGCACAAGGAGCTGTGGCAGGGATCCTCAGTCATCCGAAGGAACAGTTGCTGGTTCCATTCGCACAATTGCTCTGCTGCTAGGAAACACACTTTAACACAAAAGTCTGCTTGTTTTTATAGTTTTATAGTTTGAATTCAACATGAGATATGATCCCTCACATTCTGAAGGTTACAAGTTCAAGGCCTAGGCATCAATAAGTTTGGCTCCTTCCAAGGCTGTGAGAAAGAAGCTGCTCTTCCAGGTTCCTGGTAACTGCAGGCAGCTGGGTCTGTCCTTAGTTTGCAAACCCATTTTCCTGCTCTCTGCTTTGGTTTCCAGGAGATGCTCTTCTTGTATGCGTGTCCAGATTTCCGCTTTTCATGAGAACACAGCTCATGCAAGGTTAGGCATCCAGCCTGCTCTAGTTTGACTTCATTGTAGCTAATGACGTTTGCAATGATGCCCTTTCCCAAGTAACCTCACCTTCTGTAGTGCAGAAGGCTTGGGACTTCAGTTTACAGATGAGATGGAGTATCTGAAGAATTATGACAGGCACATGGTAGTCAAAAGTATGTCCTGAGTAGAGAAGGAAAGGACCAGAGCCAAGAGGCAAGAACAACATTGTATCTGTGGAGCTCTGGGTTGTGTGACATTCATGCCATCATGCCATCATAAAGAATAAAGCAGGAGAGGTCAGAGCTGTATCTTTATGCCATCCACGTGGCACCTTCTTAGTACATAGAAGCACTGTGCCCATGGCCTTTGCAATGCCTTCAATCTATTGACTGTTAAGCAGGTACATGGCTATTCTGTGAGGACACATGTTTAAATTGTAGGTGCTTTTTAAGGCTCATATTTCTACCATGTTCTGCCGTATAGGAATAAGTCACCACAGCTAGCTCATTTGAAATCTCACCACTAAGAATCCTCACAGCCATGAAACATGAAGCCCGTTCATCATTGTGATAAACACCTGAGATAAACAAACTTGCAGCCTTACGTGATTTGCTCATGGCTTCAGATACTTTGGGGCATGGACAGTTGTTTCGTGTGTTGTTTCTGGGCCTGTGGCTATATAGAATGTCATGGTGGAGAGGGTGTGGAGAAACAGAACCGACTATCTTTAGGCAGCCAGAGAATAGGGAGAATAGGGAGTTGGGGGTACTGATCCCCCCAATTCAAAGACACATCTCAATAACATGAATTCCTTCCAGTAGGCTTCACTTAAGGGTTCCATCACCTTTAGCATCAGGCCTTGATAGTTTCTAAGCCTTCAGCATCATCAGTAATTGGAGGACATACAAGATCAAACCAGAAAAACTCCAATATATGATCATTTCTATAATTCATTTATATTTGAGAGTATTGCTACACACACACACACACACACAGAGAGAGAGAGAGAGAGAGAGAGAGAGAGAGAGAGAGGGAGGGAGGGAGGGAGGGAGGGAGCATAATAAATGACTTTAGAAGTAGCAGCTGATGTTTAGAATTGCTTTCAGGTTTAGTCAGAAGTTTCTGACTTGTTTCCTCCTTTATTTCCTTGCCAGTGTGTTTGCGAGCATCACTCCATTTCTTATGTGTTAGTGGAAAAACAAAAAAACAAAAAACAAAGAACGACAGTACTGAGCAGAGTTCTTAAGAGTGAAAAGCCTTAGGGTGACTTTGTCCTGGTGTTTGTTTCTAAGTTTGACCCTACACTACACATGAGTCATAATTTAATAATATTAGACATTTCATACAAGAGGAAATAACAGCTTGTAGCCATGGAAACATGTTCATCTTTACCAAGCCATATGAGAGCAATTAAGTTAGCCTCTCTCTGCTGGGAGGCTAAGGAGGTTAGAGCCATTTTTTACTTTCATTTGTGTCTTTAGGTATACAAATAAAGAATAAACACTGTAAGCTCTGCTCATCTTCAGATTGCTACACTGAGCATGTCTTAGTTGGGGTTTCTGTTGCTATGAAGAGACACCATGACCAAGGCAACTCTTATAAAGCCAAGCATTTAATTAGGGCTGGCTTACAGTTTCAGACGTTCAGTCCGTTACCATCATCTTAGCAGGAAGCATGGCAGCCTACAGACAGACATGGTGCTGAGAGGAGCTGAGAGTTCTGCATCTTTAAAGGTAACCAGGGGAGACCAGCATCCTCAGGCAGCTAGGAGGAAGAAGCTCTCCTATGCAATGGGAAGGGCCTGAGCATAGGATTAGACCACCCCACAGCAACACACTTCCTCTAACAAGGCCACACTTCCTAACAATACCTCTCCCTGTGGGCCAAGCATACTCAAACCACCACCGAGTGATTTTTTGTTTGTTTGTTTGTTTGTTTTGTTTTTCAAGACAGTTTCTCTGTATAGCCTTGGCTGTCCTGGAACTCACTCTGTAGACCAGGTTGGCCTCGAACTCAGAAATCCGCCTGCCTCTGCCTCCCAAGTGCTGGGATTAAAGGCATGCGCCACCACTGCCTGGCGAGTGGTTTTATTAGATCTAAATAAAGTAATTTTTTTTATTTAGACATAGTTCTATATATTCTGACAAATGCATTCAGTTATGTGAGTTCATCACTATGGTAATCAATCTGTCAGTCATTTCCAGGGCCACTCCCTCAGCCCCCTATTCATACAACCCCATTTCCAGCATCCACTGACCTGAAATCTACCCTTACAGCTGGCCATTTCTAGGACTCCCCATCTACAACCCGTTTAGGCTTGCTGCCTTTGCTTAGCATGCATTTAAAGTCCCTCTGTGTTGCTGTGTGCTTTATTCCCTTTCCAGTCTATTGAGTAGAATTCTATTGTAAGGAAAAGCTGCAGATCGTTTATCTAGTCACTGGTTCACAGACGTCTAATGTTGTTTGCACTTTGGGATAAACATGCACAAATTTGCTATGAATATTCATTTGCAGGCCTTCTCTGTAGATGTATCTCTTCATCTGCACATGGAGAACTGCCTAAGATTGGGACACACAGAAAGCATCCTTCTTAAAATACTGCCAGTGTGTTTTCCAGAGTACCTGAACCCGATCCATTCCCATGAGACTGCGGGACTGTTCCAGGTGTCCCGTGCCCTCAGTCAGGCCAAGTCAGTTTAGCCAGACACTGTTAGCCAATGTAGTAAATGGATGGTCTTGTTATGGCTCATCCATATCTAAATTTAAATAGTACTTTTATTTTTATTCATAAGCATTGTCAAAAAATACCATATTCATAAGCATAATCTTAGAAATTAGATGTTTATTATTATTATTTAACAATTTCATAACTTGTACTACATTTGGTAACTCCCTCACTCTCTTTTATTTCCTTCCCATCCCTGTTAGCCTACCACCCATAAAAAAACCTGTTTCTCATATTCACGTAGTTTGATTTGGTTTTGTACCCCCAAAGAGTTTAACTGTGGCAATTTGTGTGATCCTTGGTTTAGAACTAATCAAAGCCTGGTAGGATGGCCAGTGGATATCCAACTAGTTCCTGTGCCTCCCCTGCTCCCAGAATCTGTTTGCTGCCAATAGATCAGCATAACTGGTAGAGCCCCATGCGCCCCTTCTCCATCCATAACCAACTGCAGGGCAGGGAAGACTTATGTAGTCCCAGAGCCCGTGGGCACAACTGCTATGAGCTCACGATTGCAATGCCTACGTCAAGCTTAGGAGATAGAATTACACATCCCTCTTCCCTGTCTTCCGATGCCTGCGTTACCTGCTCCCTCTTTGGCAGTGTTCCCTGAGTTCTAAGGGGGTTCTCTAAATGTCTTACTTAGATCTGAGCCCTCAACTATCCTTTACTCTCAGCACCTGTGTAATCATGAGTCCGTATTAACCCGTTTGCTACATGGTGAAACTTCTCTGACTAAGGCTTTTTGAAAGTAGTCTTTGTCTGTGGATATAAATATAGTTAGAAAGTGTTTGGACGCTAAGTCAATTCAGCTAATGAGAAGTTTTAGGTTCACTCCTAGGGCCTAAGACCTCTTGAGTGACAAGTTTCAGACCAGTTTTGTAGTACTAGACATAGATCACGTTTTATAGAGTGAGTGGGCCTCAAATCCAATCAGGGAGTTGTTGGTTAGTCCCCAGAGAGTTTTTCCCATTACTGTATCAGTAGTTACCTTGCCTGGCAGGTTGGGATTACAGCTCATAGAATCGTCACATGGGTAAGACTTGATGTCTTCACCCCATCACTGCCCATAACCAGCAGCAGCCTGCCCAGCACCGCCTGACACAATCACCCTTGTCCGGCAGGGAGGAAGCTCAATTTTCACTGTGATTCCTCTGTATCTTGAGTTCAAATTGTGTCGTGTCTTCAGCACAAGGGTCCCACCGACTTTGAATTGGGTTTCCTGACAGTAAGTTTACTTGTACTTCTTTCAGTTAAAAAAGTCAGACATTGTACTGAAACCTACATGAGACAACCGTGGGGAGTGATGAATATTCAAAAGCCAACAGGATGCCATTTAAACTGCTGATCACAAAACTGTGTATGATTAATGATGATTACTGACGCTCCTTCATAAATCCTTTAAGTGGGTGCCTTTTAATAGCATCATCACAGACAGTCTGAAAACCAGCTCTCATGGGCCAGCAAACCATGGGCCTGGCGGAGCAATGGCTCACCAATGTTCTAGCTTGACATTAGTAATGCCCAGGGCTTTTAGCTCTCTTGACAATATTTAGCAAGGGTAGATCAGGAAAAAAAAAAAAAACACAAGGAAAAGAGGATTATTATGATGAATACCACTTTAGAAAGAAACTAGGTATTTTTCTCTCTGTAATCAAAATAGAAGATACGTAAGATTTTCTTTACTTATCCAGCACATGGATAAATGTTACTACTTTATAAAAATAAAAAGTTTTCAGCAAAGTAATATTAATCCCAGTTAGGTCTGCTAAATGTTGAGTGAGAGTTCAACTTTGGAATACATATGTAATAAATTCTATCATTTTGAAGTAGGAACATCAGTGAATATATTTGTCTCCTTGGAGATGTTTAGCCTGCCCTCTGCATGCCTGTTTAAACTGCTCAGTTGCTCAGTAAGTACTGTCTTGTAGATATAGAGAAAAACTTATAGTATGTCCCTGTTCCTAACCACATGTAATGAAGCATGTGTATGTGTTAAAAGTCAAGACAAAATAATGGCAGCAGGTATGGAGGTCTTGTGGCTCTAGTGGTAGTGGTTATGAACTGCTGAAGATATTTGCTGTGGTGGTAGTGGTACCATGGTAACAATGGTGGCTGTGATAATAATACTGGTTACCATGGTGATGTTGCCTGTTGTATGGCTGAAGGGTGGCTATGGTAAGAATGTGAAGAGAATGTTGACTGAAGTAGGAATGTTGGCTGTGGTGATGGTGTTGACTAAGGTAAGAATATTAGCTTTAGTGAGGATGTTGGCTGTGGTGAGGATGTTGACTGTGGTGAGCATGTTGGCTGTGGTGAGGATGTTGGCTGTGGTGAGGATGTTGACTATGGTGAGGATGTTGGCTATGGTGAGGATGTTGGCTGTGGTGAGGATGTTGGCTGTGGTGAGGATG